TTGCACCTGCTTTTTTTGCTCAAGGCTAGCATTCTTAACATTTAAGCCACAGCTCTACTTCCTACTTTTTGGTAGTTATTTAGAGGTAAGCATCTCATGAATTTTTTTGCCCAGGCTGGTTTGGAAGTACAATTCTCAGATCTCAACCTCTTGAGTAGGAGGCTGTACATCACCAATGCCTGGCCATAATAATTATTTTTTAAAGCTTTTGTTTTTTTTGGGGGGGGAAGAGCAGTTTTCATTTGCATATGAAGTTGAAAGAAATAGCTACAAATGAAGTAAAAATTAAGGAAATTAAAATTCTCTCCAGAGAGACCTAATGGTGAAGACAAAACAGATATTGGCATCCCCCTACAGGCACAGGCACTAGTAATTGTTTATGGAGTAGGAATTTCAGATGGTTACGTTTTTTCATGTTGTACAGTGTTAACAATATTTTCGGTATGTTTTTCATTTGAACCTTGTAAAGTGGTCTGAATTTTTTCATTTGAAGGCATTGTCACTTTCTCTCTTCATTCAAGAAAGTATTTACATCAAGACATGGTGGTGTATGTCTGTAATCAAAGCACTCTGAAGGCTGAGTCAAGAAAGTCAGAGTTGGAAGCCAGCCTGAATTACTTAGTGAGACATTGTCTCAAAAAGAAGAAAAATTAAATCCCAGCTGGAGGCATGGCTCAGGTAGTAGAGTGTCAGCTGAGGAGCAAGAAAGCCAAGTCAGTGCAAGACCCTGAGTTCAATTTCTATTATTACCAAAAATATAAAGAAAACTGTGAAGACAAATCATCCTCCACAAACCAACCATGATATTCCTACTTTAATAGCTTTCTGTGTTCCCCCAAATCAATCTTTGTATGTTACCTTTTCCATTTGGCCATGCTTGCAGAGATCAAAAATATCTTTAAAGACAATCTGTTATCTTAAATAATGATTAAATATCAAACATTGTCATTAAATGTTTTTATCTTATAATGGTCTTTAAGTGATTTCATAAGAGCCATTCTTTAAATCTTTTGTTACAATTGTGGTGAAGAGTCATCAAGAGGTAAGACCAGTGAACATATTTTGAATAATGTATCTTTTCAATATCTCTTTCTTCTTTCTTTTTGTTCTTCCAGTATAATATTTAGTGGTATCTGATTAATTACTTACCAAAGAACTTTTTAACTTCCCTTTTCAAAAGATTAGTAGTAGAGTTTTGTTTTCAAGTATCAGGAACCAAAGTTAGCTGTCAAAGACACCTAAACACATTAATTATTCTAGTTTCTTACTTTAGTCATAAGTCCACTGGTTATGCCTGCTTTCTGAGAGACAGGTCATTGACTTCTTAGAAATAGATTCTTAAATAGTTATCAGGTGAATTGGGGAAGGAGTGAGAATTGAGGTGAAATAGACCTTAAGAAATCAATGACCCACTAGGCATGTGGCTTACACCTATAAGTCTCAAGTACTTCAGAAGCAAAGATTATAGGATCATGGTTTGAAGCAAGAACCCATGTCAAACCAACTCTACCTGAAAAACAACTAAAGCAAAACAAATTTTTTGTCTGTGTGCTGGTCCTGGAGCTTGAACTTGCCTAGACACTGTCCCTAAACCTTTATGTTCAAGGCTAGCACTCTACCACATAAGCCTCAGCTTCATTTTCAGCTTTTGTTTTGTTTTTTTTGGGTCCGGTTGTGGGGCCTGAACTCTGGGCCTGTGTGCTGTCCCTCAGCTCTTCAGCTCAAGGGTAGCACTCTACCACTTGAGCCACAGCACCACTTCTGGCTTTTTTCTTTTTGCTTATGTGATGCTGAGGAATCGAACCCAGGGCCTAAGGAATGCAAAGCAAGCGTACGACTGAGGCACCTTCCCAGCCCTCATTTTCAGCTTTTTTGATAGTTCATTGGAGATGAGAGCCTCACAGACTTTCCTGCCTGAGTTGGCTTTGAACTGCAACCCTCACATTCCAGCCTCTTGAATAGCTAGGATTATCAGCATGAGCTTCCAGCACCCAGCCTACATTTGTATTTAATAGAACTTTATGAATACAGTGCATCTTGACCAATGTCACCCCTTTCCTCATTCTTCCCCATACTTCTCAATCCCATCCCTTCTCCCAATTAAAAAAAATGTAGTATGTGCACTGAATTTTATGAATAGGTTCTCTTCCCCCTTCCTCTCTTCATTTTTCTATTCCTTGAGCCCTTGGCCCCACCTCCCACCGTTCAAGTGCTGGTTTCCTGGCATCTATTTTGTTGGGCGGCAAGTTAGCCTTTCTAAGGAACTATACCTTTGAATTCTCCCTTGAGCATACCATATTTTGGTTAATACATTTGTGTACCTTTGCTTGCTACCCCTAAGTGTTTACTTTTACTTATACATTTATAACTTCTAGTTTCCACATGTGAGAGAAAACGTGTATTTTTTGTTTCTCTGGGCCTGACTTACTTCACTTAACATAATTTTTTTCCAAGTCGTTCCATTTCTTTGCAAATAATACAGTATCATCCTTTCTAACGAATGGGTAGAATTCCATGTGTAAGTATATCACATTTTCTTTTAATCCATTTGCCCATTGAGGGGCATCTGGACTGATTTCATACGTTGGTTACAGTGAATACAAATCTTTGATAACTCATAGATTCTATTTACTTAGGATTGGTTTCTTGAGATTTATTTTGTTCCTTTGATCCATTTCACACAGTTGTGGGGTTTTTTTGCATTCTGTGTGTGTGTGTGTGTGTGTGTGTGTGTGTGTTTGTGTGTGTGTTGGTGTGGCTGGTAGATACCAAATATATATATATATGCATACATATATATATATACATACATACATACATATATATATATATATATAAAACTTTGCAAGTGGTATGTACTGATTCCATACAGAGAAACTTACCTAGAGAGTTTCGTTTTTTGTTTTTTGGGTTTTTTTGTTTTGTTTTGTTTTTGTCTCTCAGACGCTTTTGGGGGCTCCATTTTGGGGCTATGCTAGGAGAGAACTTTGCTGATGTCTCTTCAGAAACTTGCAATGGTCTCTTCCTCCCTCTGGTGTCTTTTTGTGGCACTGCAGGTTTTCAGCATCTCTTTGGTATCCAAAATTCCCATTCGGTCAGCATCCTAAATCATGCTTCATAGAAACTAGTCCCTCGGGAAATCCCCCAAAGCTGGGAAGTTGAACATACTTTGTTCTT